CCCAGCAACACCTACGTTCTGGTTTGCAAATTAATTTACTGAATTTAGAAAACACTGTTGGCTCCTAATTGCACTGATGCACTTGACAATGGGTCTTAACCATGCTGATATTAGAACATAATTATTGTATGAGAACGTTTGGTGCTTCAGCCCCTCTATCAGCAGTTCAGTCTGGTCTTTTAGATCACATGTTCTCACTACACAGGACTGACTTGAATCTTTCTAAAAGACAGTCCTTATACCCTCATAAGGTTTTACAACACACTTGATGCACCCTAGGAGTAGGATATCCAGTTTAGTTTTCTGCAAATAACTACAGATTAGAACCCATCACAACTGCTCTGCAAATTCACCTCTATTTGCAAGACAGAAGGGAACAATCAGGGTGCTTTCTTCAAAACTACACTATTGCTCTGAACTAAAGCATTAATGTGTCCAGTTTGAAATGTTTATTTTCTATTTAGCTGCTGTTCAATCTGATGAGTAGCATTTGGTGGCATTAAAGCAGGGCTGCAGTAACATCCCATGCACTCACCAAATGAGGGAGCTGAAGGGTGTAGAACCAACTGTCTCTTCTGAGCAGAACACACAGGAAAAAACTCAGTTCTCATCCCTTTGATAGAGGGAGAAACCTTCTCTTTTTTTAACCTCAACCTTCTTCATACGTAAACTAAAAACACTTAACCACCTCCTCTGGATGTTGTAAAAATTAGTTAATATTTAGGAAGCACGACACAGATGAAAATTACTTAAGCGTTGAGGATTATCAGATAGCATTATGTTGCCCTCACTTAAATTGTTTTCCTCCTCTTATTTAAGTGCCTTCGATCTACTCCTGTTATTTGACTCTCCATTACTGAACTTTCTTCTGTGTGTCTTCAAAAAATAACCCAACCTAATTGAACTGCAAGTTCTAGTGTTATTTAAAGATTATCTGCTGTGCCACATATTTAAACAGCAAGTACAGTTGAGTAATTTCATCCTGGAACCAATAATTTTTTTCAACTTAAAATTAGCTTAGCAGGTACTAATCAGCTTGCAAGACAAATATAATGGGAGAAAATCAATTTAAACTTTCTGTTTGAAGCTTGTGCCAGGTCATTATACAGAAAGACTAATCTGCTAAATAATTAAGGCACTGTATTTGTGGAGTGAGACGAAAGAAACATTACAAGTGAATAATAATTCTGTGCTGCCGTTTGCCTCTTTAATCTATAATTAGACTATGTACTTCAAGTATAGTTGTTAGTCTGTCTAAGGTTTAATACAGAGCCAGTGGAGTGGGCTTTCTGAAAAACCACCTGATCTGTGCCAAGGAAACTAGAAACAGAGTGATCCCCTTCTGACATGATCTCTGGTTAAAAGTCAGCCTTGTCTTTGCTGACTGAGCCCAAAGAAAAGGTGTCAGAAGCAAGCAGCTTCTGTAACAAAGCACATGCACCTTGATTAAAAATAAATCACTGTAGTAACAATTCCAAGCATTGAAGTACCTACTGAAAACTGGAGTATTTGCTGTAAAACACTGTCCATGTTTCATGGGCTCTGTAAGAATATGCTACTTGCCACTTCAATGTGTACTGCACTTCCCAGTTTTTGAAAAGATATAAATACAGGACCCTATTCTGGATCAAAACATTCCCCTTCCTACAGACAGCGATATTTTCAAAACTCATTGTCCAATATGAGACATACTGTTTCACAGGTAGATACATGGTAAATATGTCGACAGAATTGAATGCCCATGAAAATCAGGATAATCAAATCAGTGAACTAAAGCAGACACAGAAGATACAGTGGGATCACTTACTTTTCTTGGAGAAGAGTTTCTTTCTCCGTCCAACATGGCTTAGCTTGTACTCATTCTCCTCACAGTTGCAGTCTTCACTATTCCTGTTATAATACTTGGGCAAAATATTGGAGGTGCCTTTGCTGTTGCCTGCAGCTGCCAAGCTTGCCATTCCCTTGCACTTGTGTAGCTTGAGCTTTCCACTAGCATCTTCCACACACTGCCATTTCTGGAAGAAAAATTTGGCCATTAAAACTCTGTCCCAGCTGTGCTTTGTCTAAGGGACAGCTCCAGCAAGCAAGCAGAGACTCCTCATTGTAGTAAACCAGGGCTCATCTATCAGCCACTACCATGCACATTTTTTTTGCAACCTGTCATTTTCAGACAAAACAGGAATTCTTCGGAACACACTTGTGTCTGTTTCTTGGAGGCAGAACAATTGAAACGTCTTAACAAAGTCAATACTACAGCTTAAAACATGTAAGTGACAAGTGACAACTTCCAGAAATGTAACTGTGTCATAAACAAAGGATGCTAAAGCCTTATCCACAGGTCTGAAAAGAATCCTTGCCTACCAGTAAGGGTGTTTGTCAGGCTGGCAGGAAACTGCCACTTTTATGCCATTAACTCAGCACCAAGCTCCAGGCCTGCATATAGTCTCAGCCTCATCTCATAAACAACAATGGGAAAACCTCTTTATAGGTGTCTACTACTTTACTAGTTCAACTGCCTATCGTGGGATGTTTTCCAAGTTGTGGATTCCTGTACTGCAAAGAACTGGTCTGAGACGGTTATCTGGACTCATTCTACAGTCAAATAAGACAAACAGCCACTTCCAGGTATAATTCACTTCATCCTAAGGTGATCACATAAGAGATAAGAAGAATTGCCCTGCGTAAGCATCCCGTTTCTCTTCACTGACTTTTAAAAGTGTGGGTATGACGAGATCAGCTATGGAAGTCTGTAGTTAGATGTACTTAGAGTTTATCTCCATCTTGAGTGTTTCTCTTAATAGCTTTTCCCATTCAACACCCTTGGGCTTGACTAGCAATTATGAGCTGCACTGGATGCTGGGAAGTGAGAATCCCCTCCCTCTTCCACTCAAACTGGCGTAAACCTCATTTGTAATCTCCAATTCCTTCTGTAACTCAAAACCTGAAGTATCTTGCCTATAGATCACTTTGTGCTGCGCCACAGGCAAGAGAGTTTAGCCACCTTCAATCTGGCACGGAAGTTTTATCCACTTTCCAGATACATCCCAAAATAATTTCACCTACTCCTTTATTTACCAGCACACTACCAGCTACAGAGCTATGCTATGAGATACATAAAGAACCCTCACAGTAGCAGTTGCTACTGCTTTAAATAGACACTCTCAGAAACACTTTTGCTTTTTGCTGAGTCTTGAGAGGCGTTCCTTCTTTTTCCCTATTACAAAATCCTAAGTCTGTGCCTCCAGGACTCACTGGAATATTGAGAATTTTCCAAATAAAAGAACAGAAGAAAAAATGGCACCAGCTCCCAAGTGAGATGACATTTTACAGCAGCCTACAGCTCCATAAGGGAGCTTCAGTCACTTCAGTTCCCACAGAGAGGTGTGTGTGCCTAGGCTAGGACAACAAAGCCTACATTTTCCATTGAAATTCACTCCCTTGCTTGCATGACAACAAGTAAGAAAACAGTATCACTGTGGTTTTATAACACAGAATGTAAAAGACTCAGAAGTGAAGCAGCCAGTTACAGTGTATTTATCTATGTCCACAGGAGATCCTCTCATTTAAAACCATCAGAGTTTTATGGTGTATCCACTTATTTCCTCAGGCGACTGGATAACAGGTCTCCTGAGCTGTAACTGCTTCTTGGGTACAGATACCGTGTCCAACCTCCTGTACGGTCCAAGCCTTGTAATGATGCAGATGAACCTGGCTTAACTTTCAGCACAAGGAGTCACAGGAAAACATTGAGAGATACTGACAATAAGACATTGGAATCAGACATCTTTGCATGACTGTCTCCATCTGTAAAGCAGGACACATTTACCTAGGTGGACTGTAGAACAAAACTAACCTTTGAAGAATTTCTGAGTCTTTTTCATACTACTTTTTAGAAATGTTTAACTGATTGATGCACAGACTGAGGTTTGAAGTAAAAGTTATTCTGCTAGAACAAACAACTGTTTATTTCACAATGAAAAAAGATGTAAAAATGTTAGTTGCTGTTTCACATTTCAATTAATTTGAATATTATTTTTGAAAATATATGAACAAACTGCATTTTCTCCTCAGTAGAGCTCTATGCTGTATGTGTCTGATACATGAAAAATGAGGATTCAACAGAGGGCAAGTTAAATGCCATGATGAGAACGACTGTAAATAACTGCTCTGATGTGTGGCCCAAAAAACATTTTTTTCTCTGTTTCTTTCATCTCCTGTCAAGAAAGTGATGCTCATTTTTCCCCTTCAGGTGAACTGGAAAAAAAAACACCCTTTAATTTTTGGTACAGTTTAAATCTTTCCAAGGCAGCTGCATGCTACAGTGAAAACATCTTAGAGGCTTTGCTGGAAGGGCTCATTGTGTGCATTAACTACTGCAGTGCAGAACTACATAAATGACTTCAGAAGCAAACACTGAAGACATGTGGGGGTTGGAGGAACAGGGAAAGAAAAGTCTCAAGCTTTTACTTTTTTTCAAAAAAAATTATATGGGCATGTATGTGAATAAGTCTGGGATTCAACAACTTGCCCTTGGTCTGCTTCTAAATAAAAATGCTAATTCTCTAGGTCAGTATCATGGCTATTTCAGCTGCAATCATTTCCACAGGAAACTTTCAAACTTAGGGAAAAAAAAAGGCAGTAACTGCAAGAGAACTGTGAAACCTCTGCTTGACAGTTGAGAAACTTTAAACATTGTGGCATTTTAAGCTGGCTTCTAGTACACAGCATACCATCATGCAGAAACCTGTGTTAAGCCCTGGAAGCAACTAAAATATTTTATAGGAGATAGTAAGTTAAATAATTAAATCCCTATATGAAGAACTCCAGAGTGCCCCAGAGACACTTTGGCTTGCAGGTAAAAGTTATAACTATCCAGCAACAAAATATAATTATATATAAATAGTGGATTAACAAGTCAAGAAAACAGAATGCCCTTAGTTCACCACTTGCCCTTAACTTTTCAGGCCTTTTATTCTTTAGACCAAAGGATGTGCTCCTAATTCAAGTTCTACAGTTTGCAGTATCTCTTTAAGAGCTAGGTCCTGAAAGGAAGGGCAGTTTAACACAAATTAAAGTCAGTGGAGAACCCAAACTCCCCCACAATCTTCATCCCAGCTCATATCAAAACTCTAGAGGATGAACCTGTCTTTCCTCCTGCAAAAGACTGCAGAAGAGCTACTCAGGTCACCAGATAAATGGCTTTTGCAACATGTCCATCAAGCTCACATTGTGCAAAACTTTCCAGACACCTCATTTAATCATTGAAGCTGTTCCAGTTGGATATTTCCCACCATCTCCAGGCAGGCCAAGTTTGCTGCTGTGCTTCTGCTTTCTGCCACTTACTGTGCTGGGCTTGTTCTAACAGTCTACTCCATCCTTGACCCTACCTCCCACTGCACAACACATGCCACTCAGTTCCTACCTCCCACTGCACAACACATGCCACTCATTGCAAATGTGTGCATTTGTGTGCAAAGCAGAAGAGTCTGGGCTTTAGTTTAATGGAGAGATTAGCTACTGAACAGAAACACTATTCAACGGTACATGGCAAAGGCAAAAAAAGAAAACACAGTTTGTAACATACACTCTAGCCAAAACCACCTGCTGTATGTACCAACAAAAGTAAATTAGGACTTCAATATCAATGAAACATGAATCTGAACAGCAGCAGTTTGTAGACTGAACAGATACCCTGTTTCCCTCCAGTAGCATTTTTCACCTTGAACATGAAAATGACTCCTTCAGCAGAAAAAGACTTACTTTTCTGTGTGTCAAAAGCCCATTATTTCCTTCATGGGCCTCATCACCATGAAGTGTTTTTTTGCATTATTATGCATCAATCAATGTCTTCTTACTGCTACAGCAATCATAGATGTTAATTCAAAGTCATTACTTGAGGCTCCAATCAGAAACAAATAGCCATGACCTTCCCTGTATGATTTTTTTCCTACAATTCATTCACTTCCCTCAGTGAATCTCTCTCAATTGACATTGTTTTTTCTTCAGGAGAACAGGGCTGATCACACAAGCCTTGCTAAAAAAAGATTTCAGTTGAAACATACAGCTTTCAGAGCTGAGCCCTAAATCATCATGCTGTGTCTCATCAGCTTCTCTTTTTGTTAAGTGAAAGAGATTCCATTCCCTTTTACAGAAAAGTGAAAAGTGAAACTGTCTGATCAGTTAGCTGCCAGCCAGGATCCCTCCCTAACACTTTCAGGAATATAGGCTCTAGGAATCAAAGTTTCTACCAGATAATAAAGTTCTTTGTCCCTGCCAGCAACCTGACATAAAAACACTTCAGCAATATCCACATTCTTTAGTTTATAGAAGGAGAGGTGCTGTGCTGGATCTTGTCATCACCAACGAGGAAGGGCTGATGAGGGATGTTAAGCTGAAGGGCAGTCTAGGCTGTAGTGACCACAAAATGGTGGAGTTCAAGATCCTTAGGTCAGCAAGGAGGGCTCACAGCAAGCTAACTACTCTTGACTTCAGAAGGGCAGACTTCAGCCCCTTCAGGGATCTGCTCAGGAGAGTGTCTTGGGATAACACCCTGGAGGGTAGAGGGGTCCGTGAAAGCTGGCTGGTATTTAAGGATCCCCTTCTCCAGGCCCAAGAGCATTACACCCCAACTAAGAGTAAGTCAAGCAGAAACCCCTTCCTTGCTGCCACATTGGATAGTGAGCTGGAGACAATATCTAGAAATACTCAATATTCCAGTATAAATTCCTTTATGGGTAGTCAGAATACGTTTTTTCTTGTATGAAACAGCACAGTAACATTTTAGCTAGCTCTTCTCTTTTGCTTTGGTTTACTCCTTGTGTTTTTTTTATTTATTGGGCTAATGAGGACAAAGCAGCAAAATTCAGAAAGTGACACAAGCCCCTTCTGTGCCAGAGGCAGTTCTGCTTTTACTGACTGCTTATCCCACTGCTCAGATGTTACAGCTTTCCCATTGTCTGTCTCATACACATCACTACTACTCTGTTCTTGTTGACTGAAAGTAACTGGCTCATGT